GCCAATTTCTGCATATAAATTCTTCGAGATAACTGTAAGTCATCATGTTTCTTTACCTGTTCACTTATCTGGTCCTCTTCTCATGGTGACTCCAGAAACATTCAATGGAATTTGTGTGCTTTCTTTAGAAATGATCAGCAAAATCGTCTGCATAATTGAGCACGTTGTGAATATGGTCCAAGAATGAGAGTTAAAATGTATTGCACCTCTACATCTATACTTTTTCTCCTTTCCAATGAGCCTGTTGTCTAAACAGTACTTAAATACTAGGTTTCGAGGAAATTTACTGTACAATTCGTGTGTGGTATCCATAATTCCTCTCATATATTGCGGACTCGTTAGACTGATGACTCAGAGTCAGGAATCCGTTCATTAGATAGTTTCATTTTGAGCTAATGTAGTCTAGAGTCACTGTTACTGGTTGAATTGTTTTGAACTTTGGGCCAATACAATCTCTTACTTACAAATTCCATTGATCCTGATGCTATGTGACAAAATATTATTCAGGAGTATTTGACATGTAAACATAAACGTTTGGAAATCTAATGGCCATTACAAAGTGAGATACAAATTAATAGCCTGTTATTATCGATAATGGAAAGGTAATGATCACACCTTAGGTAAGGATTTGAAAAAGGGTTTATTTTAGTCCCCAACTAAGTTCTGTTTTAAATCTGGTGTAAGTTTCATCAAATTCGAAGACCCATACAGAAATAATAGACTGGATTTAGCCGTCAAATATGTACACGACGGTTATTTATTTCGAGTTTAACATAACATTTAAAAAGTTGGAGATTAATTACATCCAAAAAGTATGAACGTGAATTATATAACTCAGTTTTGATCACAGATTGTCTTGAGTTATTGGACCGTTGAGAACAAGGAAGTACTGTACAGCTGTTTACAATGACCACAATCAAACTCCAAGTCAGTCAGATCCTTTCAAACGAACACATGAAAAAACTGGTTCTCTGCGACTCATTGGTCCATGAACCAGCCTGTTAGCGTTGCCACGTGATGCTAATCAATTTTCAGAAGTGTAATCGGTAGTGAACAACTTGGATTCTAGATCCACTACCTGAATGATAAACAGCCTACATCCCTGTCGAGATATGAAATCATACACGAAACGCTTTTAGCTCGCGGGACAATCTCAATCGCAGTGATCCGGTTTACTTAACAGTTGTCGTGTCTTCCAAAAGAATTAAACAACTACGGCATACATTTGACTTATTTTTTATTTACAATATAGTATAACATTATGATGCTCAGAAACACAATTCACAAAAAGGCCCTAGGAGATCTGAACTTCGTGGACAATTTATGTCTGAGGTATCACAAATCCAAAGATCTACAGACGAAAACTAACAAGTCAGTAGAAGAACTGATGAAGACAAGATGTTATGACCGGAACTAAGACCCAGTAGACTCTGAGCGAATATTAACTTAATGCGCTGGCTAATCTGTCCTAATAACACGTCAACAACAACAATGACACCGCCGGCACGCAAAGACAAAAGAAAAGACTAGACGATGATAAGAGAGTTTTCACTGTCTCAAAAAACAGTCAAAACACTAGATAGAAACTTCGCATATATATGGTTAGAATGGCCTTGAAAATGTGGCAATTAAGCGATGCATTAAAAGCATTAACAGCCAATAGGAATCTAGTAGTCCAAACAGAGGGAAAAAGAAAGGGCTCATGACAGTGAGCGATAACTTCCTAGAAAATATATCTTAAGGCTTTAAGCAAAATTGAGCAAAACTAAGTGTATATAACACAAGACTTCAAGTGAGCATAAAGAAGACAGAGTTTATCAAAATACCCAACAAACAAAAGGTATCAGTCACCAGTGATGGGGGAAACCTTTTACACTTACGTAGGCTGCATTGTTTCAGCTTCAGGCGCCAGTGATGAGAATGTCAAAGCCAGCTAGCATCAGTACCATATATTTGAGATCGACGTGGAAATCCACTGTACTCAGCGAAAAGAACAAGATCCGGATTTTCATTACTAACGTCAAGTCAGTCAAAGTAGTTCCATAGTGTTCAGAGACTTCACGTTCGTGTCACCAGAGGCATTTCCAGCAGATTGTTACAGACTTATGTCAGCAGATGCCTTTAATGTCCCCATACAGAAAATCAGGAAGCGACCAGAAAAGTTAAGCAACAAGGTATTCTAGTAACACACCAATCAAGAATCTATCGCCAGCAAAAATGCATATGAAAATGGGGATGAATTGGACATGCGGTCTGTTTAAATCACTGGACTACCTGCGTTTCCATCCATCAAAATGCTCAAACTCTTCTGCATTTCTTGTTGTTTTAATCGTGCAATTATATCAAATGACCAGTACATGAACTCGCACGTATATGTAATTGACTCCGAACTACACGCTGTGCGATTCTTGAAGGGAACGAAAAAAAGAGTTACATAGTTGATTCTCTCTTAATATGCACCAAAGCCACGTCACATGATATGCTTCATATTAAGACTTTACGTGTAAATCTTATGTGAATAGGAAATAATTTGGAGCTAAATACGCTGAAAATGTCTGCAATATGCATTCACATAGGGCTGGACTTATCCGGCATGTTGGTTGAAATTTCGCTCGGCAAATTTTTTGTCAATAATTTTTAATAAAATTTTGTTATATGTTTTCTGTATTGATAGGAATTCTCATTTCCTGGCTAGTTATGTTGGTGTTCGCGTCATTTAATCTGACTGCGACGCACTTAGCATATTGGTTGTAATGATTAGTGTTTCATGCTGAATGCGTCAAAACATCTCTACAATGAAGAAGATGGGTAGTTGGGGGGTAATGTCATCTACACAAATAGTTTATTTCTTGTAGAAGCTGCAGCTTTCGACATAGTGTCATTCAAAGACTACGTCAAAATGTGTCTATTTTCGTGTGAAGAACAGTACTATTTTACAAAAGAATGCTATCAGTACATGGGAATCACCTATAAATGCCAACAGAACGTAAAACCAATGTGTAAACGAACGGCTACGGAACTGCAATCCAACATAACCAACTATCATAGACGAAAATGACTTTGAGCGTCTCAGTCCATCAATGACCTTGAGCATGCGGATAATTGCATTCACATAGTGACTGAAATAAAGTTTTATTGGTGACTCTAGACTATAGAGGCTCAAAAAGAAACTACCTAATGAACGGATTAGTGATCCTGAGCAACCAGTCGGATGAGTCCGTAGCTTATGGGAGGAATTATGGATCCTGTACATGAATTGCATGGCAAATTTTATCTTAGTCTAATATTTAGGTACTGCTGAGACACCAGGATCATTAGAAGGGAGAAAACACATAGCCAGCTACGACGCCTAGGCTACATTCACAACGTGGTCAATCATACGGGTAAGTTCTTCAATTAATTCGATGGAACTCACAGAAATTCCATCGAAGGTTTCTCAAGTCACTTAAAAAAGAGGATCAGAATGGTGAGTGAGGCATGATTTACAGTTATCTTGGTGAATTTATGCAGAGAAATTGGTTCAATCTAACTACGAGGACTACTAGAAGAAAGTGTTCTTGGAACATATACAAGAACATTATCCTGTATAATTACTTTCCAACGTTACATTACTTTTATGTAGACGGTTTTTCAAATACTCACTTTTACTTCGGAGGCATCTGATTGGTCGATAGTGGTTCGTCAAGGTCTTTTCTCCTAGGTAGTTTCGTTCTGGTTTAGAGTCACCGTTTTACTATTAAAAGAAGAATAGACAGTCGAGTAACATCACAGGCCAGTTAGACAATCGATTAGGGCGAAGTTCAAGAACAGCGTCCCAGGAGTACCAACGCTCAAATGACCTTGAACGCTTGCTAGTCGTTGGTTGAGGAAACTTACCATTATTCTAGCGCGAAAATGAACGCTGTTCATCTGGTCAGATGCAAATTTCACCCAGATTACGTATTTCAGTACTGCCTAGATAATGGATTAATAGGACTTACTCGGATATGTAGTTGTGGCGCTTCTATGAACCTGCAGCCGCATACCCAGGTCATTGATGGGTATATATTCAGATGTACACAGTGTAGGAAACGAATAAGTGTTCGTGCTTGTAAGTGACACTCTCAGTTAATTGTCTTCTAGGAACTTTGTAAAATCGAAACTTTTGTTTACCAATATCCTGTTTCTGTGCCATTACTGGATTTCAAAGTCCGGGGTGAGATCAACTGCGGCTGAGACATGAGATTTAGCGTCATGGAAAATGAATAGTATTACTCAAGTTTTGGGAGGAGTCGGTGTAGTCGTTCATATCGATGAAACGGTCCTCATAAAGGAGAAGTACAATCGTGGACATGCTAGAGCTAACAACTTTTGGGTTCTGGGAATTTACGACACCCAGATTCAGAAAGGATTTATTGAATTTATTCCATATGGAAAGCTGGTGCACTCCTCCCTATGATTCAGAGGCTCATCTTGCCAGACACTACCATTCACACTGATGAATGAGCAGGATATAACCGATTATCGGATTTGGGATATATAAATCATCGAGTTAACCATTCGGATGACTTCGTTGATCCCAGAACCGGTACGCATACTAATTCAATCGAAGGTTTCTGGGGAAGACTCCTTATTATAATTGGGACATCTTTTTGTCTCATATTAGGCAAAAATACCCTGTTTAATGTTTTTCATGCTTTTTTTACGTAAATATACCTAAACTTTTATGCAAAAATCCTCCTATTTTCTGATTGGTCTGCTCAAGATCACTCGTGCATTCGCTTCCCTTGGGACGCTATTGTAGAACTTTACCTCAATTGGAATCCACTAAAGGGAAACGACGAGTTGGGCATCCGAAGGTGAAGTAGAGGAGATCGTGTGAGGAGCAGCTGGAGATGGCAGCTCATGAGGCATCTTGGGGCAGCCGGCTGAAGAGGACTGTGCCTCTGAAGCCCCAAGTCGCACTACGAATTCAACAGAATAATAATCTTATAGCAAAATAAGAAAAGACTAATTTAACTGGAATTATTATAATTACTTCTTCAAGCTGTCAATATCAAATACTCAATAATTCCTCAAAGTATTTCTCTTTACTATACAACAAATAAGACAATGTATACTACTCATTTAGTGCTTTTTTCATTTTATATTCCAGTAATACTGATTAGGCTATTTCAGTAGTATAAGTAGTAAGTAAATAAGAAATGTTCAAATAAAGGAAACTAAATAAGTTAACAGATTTTCATTTCAAAATTAAAATTAAAGTCAAACAAATAATATGTACTTTTGCTTTGTTTAAAGTCAAAATATTATTGAAAAGTATAGCATTGCTTTAATAAGTAGATAAGGAAACATTGTTTCTCCACTTTTGTTTAAATAAATAAAATGAAAAAAAATAAATTAGAATCACCCAAAATGCAAAATTCAGTAGTATAACAAATAACGAAATATAAGTTAATTTTAAGACGTGACAAATATATATTTTGTCTATAATAGAATTTAAAATTTAAATGCAGAGAATTATTGTGATATTGGCGAAGTATTATTACCAATGTCAAGGTCTTTCAGAAGTGTTGACCATCAGGAACCAGTCAGACACGGAGAATGCTATGAAATATCAGTCCAAATCAAATCATATCTGCCCGCCTGTCTGCCTGCCTTATTTACTAGTACCACTTTCTCTGTAAATTTATACCGTTAGGTAGGTTTATGACTTTTAAGATTAAGGTTGTTGGATTTAGGGTCAGAGTTAGATCACCCGTGTAGTGACTGGAAGATGATATTTTTACAATACATAAACAACAAATATACAGTGTAGTGTCTGTCATGCTTGCAATGTTTCAGTAATGTATCTGCTAATGATTACGTAACTTTTTTGGCATTTGAATTCTGATTGGTCGTCTTGTGTCACCATGGTTTTAGCTATGGCGGTATTTTGACTTTGCTATTATATTGTTTAAATATATACAACAAAGGAAATGAAAAATATGATCAAGATAAGATAAATTGACTATATAAAGTATAGTTTTGGTTAGGGCAACGTACACCTTATACATACATGTAGTTAGTAGGTAGAGAAACGTGGTACATTTGTATTTTGACGACACAATGTTTGATTTCCAACAATTAAAGGAGATGCATAGTTGGGTGTAGGCAAAGAAAGACCAGAAACTGATGGTGGTATAATAGGCCAAAAATTCGACAAATAATTTGTATTTGTAGAATTCATATCAGACAGTGTGCTGGCTGAAAGAGTTGTTTGTTGTGCTGGTGTACCACTGAATAGATCAGTAAGTAATCCTGTTCCATTTATATACGATGAATTAGGCGTATATGGCAGGGAGGCTAGAGGGTTAATTCCAAGGCTGAGTGGATTTATATAACATGCTGCTGCAGCCATAGCGGCAGCATTTGTTAAACTATTCAAATCTTGAGAATTTGTACTGTGGGTTAAAAGGACACCACTTTTAGATGTGTTAATATTAGATTGATTTTGCCTTTAAAAGGAAAAAATAATAAATTTCAAACAAAAGAATCAATTATTATTTAATGTTTCTTTTAATAATATAAAATGGCGAATACTTGAAATTCAATGACACTGAACAACTGTTTCATGTGTTGTAGGCTACTTGTCAAAGAATCATCATAAAATTATTTAAAATAATCCCATCGTCAGCCGGTGGATGGTGACTAGCAGTGGAATCCATCGGGATAAAGCGTATTTCATTCTATTTGGGACTCGTCATCCGGATTTACTTGTATTCCTTAGTGAATCAGTGATGGCCCTCCCACCGAGGCTCAAACCCAGTGCGCATAGTTTCAAAAACCACAGCGTTATCTACTAGACCACTAGGGCCACAACAGCCACCTATTGTGCTGTGCAACGGGTCATATGAATTATTTAATTCAATTGGAGATCACTCACTGTGGAATGCAGGCGCATCCAGCTGACGGGTCCCAAATAAGACGAAATGCACTATACCCTAGATTCCACCAATTGTCTTCTAATTACATGCCCAGACATCGTCGAAGCATGTGCACAGGGAGAAGCCAACATGTCAACCTGAGACCGAGCACTTCGGTTCAATCAATCAATCGACGGGAAAATCTAAAATTGAATTAAATAATCCCAGCTTTTTTAAGAAAAAAATCAAAACAAGATTGCTTCTGAACGTTTCACTGTGCAAGCCACAACTTCTTCTTCAGAGGAATTACTCGGATTTTATTAACCATCAAAATGTATGTATAGTCAAAGATTACAGAAATTAAGGTGGGTTCCTTCGAAGGTCACTTGTCGGTAGATATTTGTACCAATAGAAAAATGTATAAACAGTCATCACATATTTGTAATGACTGGTGTCAAATTGTCATAAATGCGTATTTAAGTGTAGGTTTGTAGGGATTTGATTGGTTACAGAATTTCATCATGAGCTGACATTGATTAGAGAACCATTCGAAATCCAGGGAGTACTGGACAGCTGTTTTGTCAGCCTAGTTTGGGACTCTTCATCAGTACGCACCCACCGGGGTTCGAACCCAGGACCTTCTGGTTACAAGGCGAGCTCGTAAACCATTAAGCCACTGGGACCCGATCCAATGGCCCATGAATTCTAACTTCTGCCAATTCACGATATAACGCGACCGCTAGCCAATGTCATTGCTGGCGAGTATTTGTCCTCACACCCGACCTGCTGCACCCTACTGGTCACGACTTCTCACTAGAACCCCAGGTAACTATCTACCTGAATAGGGCAAGTCGCTAGTGAGCATCTCATCGATATTCAAGTGGATTTGTCTGTATGAGTGTGTGCGTGTGCATGTTGTTTGTTATTTGGAAAACACGTCAAAACATGAAAATATTTCATAATATGGTCATCTGTCTCGGGTTATTAGAGTCTGCCATATAGGTGATAAGTCTACCTCTTCTCTCCTATATATTGCATTCGATATGGCTAAAATATGCAGAGCTGGCTTCAGAGGTCAGCCTTTCTTTATGTGTTGAATGAAAGCCTCTACCTAGAATTTCGACATTGTCAAAATCAGTCTCATTTCCGCTATCTATAGCATGAATTGTTATAGCTGTTCTTTCTTCTAGACTTTTTAATTCTACTTCATCATTTCTAGGTGGACGTTTCGTGAGAGCAGTCTATGTTCATTCACTTTGACCTTCACCTGTCTACTTCTCTTCCCTGAATAGCAAGCCCCACATTCTGAACACTTTATCCTATAGACACAGTTGTTGTTCTGTAACATTTTGTGAACCATGTCTTTGACAATCACTCACCAAAGCTTTCTCTAGAGAATTAGAGGGCTTGAAAGAGACTTTAATATTATGTGAAGCAAGTATTCTTTGCAGTTGTTCTGCTGTCTCCTTTCGATATGGATTGGTTACCATGGATAATCTTTTATTGATAATGTTGTTTAGAAGCTTTTTCGGATAACCATTTCCAATCGAAATTTGTTTTATATTGGAGATCATCATCATCATCATCATCATCATCATCATCATCGTCATCATCGTCATCATCTCATCATCTCATCATCTCATCATCTATTCTCATCATCTCATCATCTCATCTCCATATCTTTCTCATCATCTCTATCTCATATCTCATCATCTCATCATCTCATCATCTCATATCTCATCATCTCATCATCTCATCATCGTCATCATCATCATCATCATCATCTGTTATAATACATGCTGACTGTTTATACATTTTTCTATTGGTCCAAATGTCTACCAACAAGTGACCTTCACAGGGACTCATTTCAGTTTATGTAATTTTTTCCTGATGGGCATATTTTGACAGTTAATAAAATCTGAGTAATTCTGCTGCTGAAGAAGAAGAACCTGTGGCTTACACAGCGAAATGTTCAGAAAGAAAATCTTGTTTTGATGTTTTTCTTCTTAAACACGCTGGGATTATTTTAAATAATTTATAATGATTCAATCTGACTAGGCGCGCAAACTATTCCCGGAAGTATTCGTAACATTTACGGTCTGGAAACTTATAATACTTGTGTCAAAGAGTTTGCTATGTTGGCATAACGTATAAGGCAATATGTCCCCTGAGTAAACACAAAGCCAGTAATAATTCTGTATACACAACAGAGACAAACTACGGTTTATATTTTACAGTGATTTGATTGATTTCAGCATTGGTCACAAAGGGACTTCAGTTAGGCGAGCTGTTGAAAACCAGCACTAAAGTAATGGACAACTGTTTCGTCCTTTTCTAGGACTCTTCAGCATCGGGGATCGAACCCCAGATCTCTAGGTTATAAGGTGAGCTTGTTAACTATTCAACCACTAACGGGGAACACAATAGCCCGTTAACTTGTGTCAATTCGTGATAACGCGCGACTGCCAGACACTGTCATCGGTGAGTATTTATCCTCACACCCAACCAACTCTTGATGGATCTCAGTAGTCAAAGCTTTCCAGTTTATAATTTGTATTTCAACAGACTTCTCTCAAAGCGGAAATCGTTAGTCATCGAATACCAGTAGAAAAATAAGTGGGCAGTCAAGGGTAGCTCAATAAAGGCAGACCATTTCATTTTGGAAAATGAAAAATGCAATTTAACCTAAAACTAAAAACGATAACATACGTTAAAGTATTTTCGTTAGTTTTGTTGCCATTCCCACTAGTATTATGGTTATTACTATTATTATTGTTATTGGTAGTAGTATTATTAGAGATATTATGGATTTGTTGAATACTGTTCATTTTTGCCTGATTATTCTTCGATACAGAATTAGCTTTCAGCAAAGCATTGGCACTATCATTCATATTGTTATTAGACTTGTACATTTGATAAATTTGATTATTATTTTATTTGGACTGTTATTCAGCATTCGAAGATCAGACTGCGTCGCGCCAACACTGTTGCAGCTACTGCCGCCAATTAAAGATGCCAGCCATAGTTTAGCTTCATTTGAATTCAAATCAAAATTTGTAGCTGCTGGAATAGACGATGCAATAGATGTTGATGGTGATGAAGATGATGTTGATGCTCCTGCTGCCGCTGTGATGATGCTGCTGTGAGAAGATTCAGATTTTGTGCATTCGTGTTATTCATTAATGGTAGACCAAGTTGAGCAGCAGATGAAAGATTTAAATTTGAACCGACAAGTGGGGTGTTAAGCGACTAAGAAAAGAGATAAAGAGATAAAACAGTTTGTAAGTGAAAAAGAGGTTCTAGAAATCTCGATCAAACAAAATAATTCTATAACGACAGAAGACAAGGGCCAGGAAACAGATCCTCTATTGAGAAAATCAACAGATATTTATAGTATTGGTTTTGTAGGGATTTTGTTTGATTGCATGGAGGATTTCATCATGAGCTGACATCAGTTAGAGAACCACTGGAAAAACCTGGGAGTACTGGACAGCTGTTTCGTCCTAGTTTGAGACTCTTCATCAGTACGCACCCACCGGGATTCGAACCCAGGACCTTCTGGTTACAAGGCGAGCTAGTAGACCATTGAGCCACTGGGACCCGATCCAATGGTCCTTGAATCCTAACTTCTGCCAATTCACGACATAGCGCGACCATTTCGCAATGTCTTCTTAGATGAGTTACTGCCTCATCTTCAACCTCCTGTACCCTACTGGTCACGGGTTCCCACTAGATCGGGTCCCAGTGGCTCAATGGTCTACGAGCTCGCCTTGTAACCAGAAGGTCCTGGGTTCGAATCCCGGTGGGTGCGTACTGTGAAGAGTCCCAAACTAGGACAAAACAGCTGTCCAGTACTCCCAGGTTTTCCAGTGGTTCTCTAACTGATGTCAGCTCAAGATATTTATAGATTTTCATGTACATTATTATTAGCGTTATTGTTAGCAGAGAAGCAACCTCTTCTGATTGGTTGTTTTCTTGCCGAAAGTTATTCTGTACTGCTTGTGACCGACCGTTTCTTAGAAAGTTAAGCCATATATCTGCGAATCGTATTTGTACTATACTCATATATACATTAACACAAAGAAAGATAAGAAGAAACATATCTGAATACCACGAATCGCAGTGAATAACCTCAGGAAAGACAATTCTATCTACCACTAACAGAGAATTTCAAAAGATATACTTCACAATGAGAAGCTAACACTGAATATGTTCGAAACTTCGTGATTAAACCATCCAGCCCATCCAGTACACCAAAACACACCGACTACTATCCATAAAGAAAACGAATTCATGGACAGGAATGTTAAAAGTATTATTAAAAGGCAAAGTTAAACTTTAAGCACCAGTAAGTACCAATGGACAGATGACCACACTGAACTCACCAATCATATGATAAAAGCGATTTCCACGTATAAAAAAAGATGTATATACATGAAACAGGATACCTTTCTCTGACGTGTGACAAAAATACCTCTCAGTTTTAGATTGCAGTATCAATGGAGTTGTTTAACGACATTCTCTTCATGCAATTATCTAGTCTTCTATCCCTAACAATAAACCTTATCCCAAAAATAACCCCAACCCTTGATTTCACAAAAACTGGAAGATATGCAAGTGAAAAGCAACAAGTTGGCAGAAGAAGCATCCAGAGAAGATAGGACTTCAGGTGAACATAGAGAAAACACAGGTGATAAGATTCCTGGCCAACAGCAACAACAACAGACAACAATCAGCATAAATGGAAGAAATCTAAAAGAAGCAACCTCCTTTACCAACCTACCTGGGAGGCATCGTTTCAACTACAGGTGGACAGAACTGATGAGGATATCAAAGCGAGGATCGGGAAAGTGGGGCAAGCTTTCATTACTCTCAAGTCTGTGTGGAGGTTAACAGCACTCAGAAAGAAAATGAAAATAAGATCCGGATTTTCAACTCTAATGTGAAATCAGTGCGTGCCGAGTCACGTAGGGCACTTTGAACAAACTACAAACTTTCATCAACAGCTGTCTTCACTCAATACTTCGCTCAAGATCAGGTGGCCAGAAAAGATCAACAACAGGGAGGCATCTCTGGGAGCGAACCAACCCAGCAGGAACCAATTGTGCAACAAATCTGCGGGAAGAAATGTAGGTGGAGGCCATACTTTGAGAAAACAAACCATCAAGTGACATCATATGCCAGGCCATTGCTCGAGTGGAACCCAAATGGGAAGTGGCGAGTCACTTGGTCGTCAGTGCGAGGATAACATAGAGGAGGTTGTGTGAAGAGGAGGTGAAAGCATGTGGGCAGACGTGGAGCCAGGTGAAAACGTTAGCAGAGAACCGAACGCAATGGAGACGTGCGGCTGAAGCCCTATGTTCCTCTAAGAACTAAGGGGAATAATAATAACCCTAACCCTAACTCGAACCAACCCTAACCTGTCCTTAGCCTAAACCTTAACTTAATCTTTCTCAAACCCAAACAAAGTGTTTCAAGGTCACTGGGACGGTCTCACCCCATTGGTATTTACACTGATGCTTAAAGCTTAACTTGGCCTAATAATAATAACTTACAGTAAGATTATTTGATCCCAGTGGATTTAGATTTGCAAAGGTTGGTTTCAACAGCTGATAAGCTCTACCCGGTTGTGAATTCAGTAGTAAATCAGTGCCAATATTTGGATTGGTAGCAGCAGCAGCAAGGGCAGCGGCAGCATTTAAAGCAAATGGATTAATACCATTATTACTTGTATTCATTAGATTAGTGGTACCAGTAGTACTCATATTATTATTATTATTGTTATTATTATTATTGAATAGACTTGATTGTGTTTGCTGTTGTTGTTGTTGTTGCTGCTGTTGATGTGAATGAGTTTGTGTTTGTAGCGGGAGATTTGAAATCACATTATCCAATGGGAATGAACTAAAATTATAAAATAGAAATGAATAGTGTCAGTAAAAAGTTTGAGCATTGTGGAATAGATCAAATAAAGTATAATAAAACCTGCAGGAAGTACTGGACAGCTTTCAGCTCATGATGAAGTTCTCCAACCATTTAAAAAATTCCCTTACAAAATCAGTGCTAGTGATCAGTCTTCAAATGCAGTTTCGTGGGGACAACATCAGCGAGATACTAACATAGCGCCTTAGAAATGCAGTAAAAAGAGCATTCCCTGCTGCCGAATTACGCTGTGTCTTCAAAACCACTCCTATTTCGCGTTCGGGAGTAGAAGACAAACTGCCTAATTTCGCCTCTTCCATATGTATCTACCAATTTGACTGCTCCTGTGGAGTGAGCCAGTTACATAGGCCGTACAATTAGGCGTGTTTCTCGTCGAATTTCCGAACATCACCCTGTGTGGTTAAGTAAAGGACAAATAAAATCTATTCGCAGCGCTATTCTACCTCATCTTATGGACACAGAACACAAGATTGATGTTAACCACGCTTTCAGGGTCATTCACCGCGTTCCAACGAATATCAATTTTGCCTTAAGAGTTCGACTACTAAATATTGCTGAGGCTGGCTGTTGGAATCCATATTAACAAGCCTAATTTGTGCATGCAAAAGAAGTTAGTTCAGACATTATCATTAACCGCTTGGTCATCTAGGTTTGAATGATGCTCAATTTTTGTGGAATTTTCGTAATTTTAGTTGATATTCTATTTGCTATTATATATTTATTATTATTATTTAAGCATCTCTAATGAACTATAATTGCATTGATCTTAATTTACAAATTGATATTATTTAAAAAACACTAATATTGTTACTGACTACTATTCTAGAATATTCTATATACATATATATATATATATATGTAATTGTAGAGCCAGAAGAGGAATTTATCGAAAAGGATATTCTTTGCTCAATTATTTTGTGTTTTATAGATGTCTGAATGAACACTGATGTTGTTAATAATCCTAATTCTTTCATTACTAGTATGGATGCATATAACTGTAGAAACTGATGAAGAGCATGTTGTCGAAAAGAATATTTTTAGTTGAGTAATCAGTCTTTTGAAATTTCCAATGAACATTTTTGATCAATAAAATAATGAGATACAAAAAAGATCAACTGTGCACTTTAAAATAACTTACAGACCACTTAAAGGTTGTTTTAATAGCTGGGATGTAATTAATGGATTAGAAACATTGAAATTTTGAAGTGTTAATGCGGCAAGAATAGCTTGAGCATTTGGATCATTTGTATTGCACAATGGGTTGTGTTGCTGTTGTTGTTGTTGTAAGGCAGCAGCAGTCGTAGCAGCTCCTACTAAACTTTGTTGTTGTTGCTGCTGCTGCTGTTGATGTTGCTGTTGCTGTTGAGCTTTCAGAAAACTGGCTATATTTGCAACTGTTGGTGTCGACGATGAAGACAGTGCTGCTACAGATGTACTGATTGAATTCCCTAGAGATACCATATTATTTTGACCAAAAAGTAAATTGTTTCCTGGATAGCTATTTGAATGTATGCCTGAAAAATGATGTAAACCATTCAGTGGACTATTGACAACTCCAGCACCTGACATTGCAGCTGCAGCTGCAGCGGCTGATATTGCTGCAGCGACAATATTACTGCTATTTCCTGATGTTGTTCCAGTTTGTCTTGATCTGGAGACAAGTGTACCAGTCCCATTAGGACCAGAGTTCAGCACCATGTTTTGATTACTAAAGGGATGAACTAAAAATACAAATTGTAATCGCTTAATTCTGAGCATATTTATATGCAATATAGAACTTTCAGCATGTTTTTATCCCCTCCATAAACAGAAGTTCCAAATAAAAAAAACAGTAAGACTACCCCTTAACGTATTTCTCCTTTAAGAACAGACCAGACGACGTCGTGAGAGCCATTATAAAATTCTTGTGAATGCAGATTTTTCTTCATGGACGCAGATGATTAAATGTGTCTGATTATACTCTATGGAATATTAGGTGCCATAATGATTTAAGGTGGCTACCACTAAAGTACACTTATAACACACGAAAAATGATGCTATTTAACTCAATCTACTTGTAAGTAGTGTGAATAAATTCAAAGAAATAACTTGGCGATTGCACAGTCATTAGAAGTTGCTTCTTTAAAGAGGAAGAATTTATTACTGCTCTTCTTTGAAAGTTATGTATAGAGTATATTTCAGGCACCTACTTATTTTTGTTGCAGTCCTAATTATAAAGAAGCTTAAACCTATCTTATGCATTCATAGATTATATGTTGATACAGAAGAAAAGGCGTTTAGCAAAGAGTTACTCTTTTCTCCGATATCATTCTCAAGCATAAACATGTATAGTAAATTTCCTTAGCAACAAAATAAATATTTCTGAAGATGTGTCATTCAAATTCTAAATTTCAGATAACAAATTATGTAATACACAAATGAAATACAGAAATATATCCACAAGAAGATGGTATAGCTATGGGCTTACCACTGAACCCGTAACTTGTAGATTTGTCAATGTCAAAACTAGAAAACACACATCTAATGAAAATGATTGAGAGCGTTGGATTTTACAAGAGATACGTGGATGAGATTTTCATTAGCTTTACTAAGGAAGAGAATTTGGAAGACATCCTGGATTGTTTTTTTCAACTACTGCCACCCACCCTGCAAGCCACTTCACATTGGAGAAGAAGTCGGAATCATATCTTTTCCGGAAGTTCAGTTAACAAGACGTGGACAAGATGGAACACTAAATAGATCCATCTGCAGAATGCCGACATGAAACGAACAACTTACTGACTTTAATAGTTGAATGCCTCGATATATAAAACGAAACCTAATCCGTTCACTGAACCATAGAATCCGCAGTATTTGCAGCACTGACACTACGGAAGAGGAGGTGCTGAACACTGAGAAAAGAATCTTCCTCGAAAATTGCTACCCAGAACGCCGCTTCATCACAGAATCCATGAAGTCCAAACCGGTAAAGTCGCCCACACTTTCTACTCCTAAAAGACTCCTCTACCTGAATCTACAACCTAGTGGAGACTCATCGGCAGAAATACTAAGAAAGTGCCTGTCCTGCTCACTGAAAAAATCGTTTTCTCGCGGTTGAACTTCGACTAACTTTCTCCACTAAACCATTGATTCACATGAACGTGAAGGATCAGCTACCACTGTTGACCTCATAAATGTACACCTACTAATTCACCTGCTCCACATGTGGAGCTAGGTATGTCGGTTGTACCCAGCGTTTTCTATGCAGATGTATCATCGAACATTGACTCATAGTCACGGTTTTATAGTGGAGAAAAAAGATCGCCCCCCCTCACCACAGCTCTATCCTGGAACACCTCACTGAATCTGGACATCAAGCTAACCCTCTTACAAAGGAACTACAAAGTTATCTACAGAATACGTGGGAATCTCCCTAAGAGAGTATGAATGAAACTTCTTCAAACCGCAAAAGCAATGGTGATTCGCATGTTAACTCTTGAATTCTATATACAAAAGAAGTTTGTTCAATCATTAAACCTACAATCGACCTGTTCTATCTTAACACTGGGTCCGTAATTTTTATTTTTTGTTTCTTAATTGTATCACTTTCTTCCCTCACTCCCTGTTAAATTTCTACCTTTTATTGCTGCCATTGTTGTTAATTTGACTCTGGTTGAATACTACTCAACCCCGCCAGTTATATTGCGTCACCCAAATGACTCACTTAGTTTTGTTTTAGTTTCTGTTATAGTTCACGTCCTGTAATTTAACAGTATATATATTTGCCATCCATTTCACACACACACAAACAAACACTCTCTCCCAAATTCTTTTCCTTTCCTCTGCGTATATGCGCGTTCTTCACTTTTTGACCACGAATCATTCTGAGGATACAGTTTAACTACTTTTCTCATTGACGAATCTTCTTGAAAGTGTTTTCGACATCAATTAAGCTGCCAGACAACCGTCGATTCAATGCTTCTATCTTCTTATTCAATTTTTGTCATTCATTAATAATATAGGAAAGTATCTTTAACAAAACTCTGTATTCAGGATTTTACACGCCTGACTCGGGCGTTAAGTAAGTATATAATAGTGGAAAGTTATTCACTAGATGGTAGTTACTTTGATTGAACACTAGTAACTAGTGTGATGTGTCCGGTCCTCCTATGTGTTTGGTGCAGACTGAATTCTATCAGTCAAGTTTGCAATGTGGCCACCATGCCACACTAGGTGGCTCGCCATCACGGTACACACTGATTTGATGATATTAGATGGTTGGAAGCAGTCGGACACAGGAAGCTTTGGACTTAGATAGGTTTCAAGCTAGTCGGCACTCACCAGTCAGTCAGCAAGGCGTATCTGCTACCTTGAAAGATTAGACACATCACACTAGTTACTAGTGTCCAATCAAAGTATTCACTGCAGTCCTACAAGAGGTCACTAGCAAGCCCGAATAGCTCAGTGGTACCATCTCTGACTGCAGCACTCACTGGGTGACGTGAGTTCGAATCTCAGAAGGAACATGAGTTCCTTCGAGGTTTACTGCCGATAGCCTCCAGCCATCTAATATCATCAGATAGTAGTTACATTGCAAATTTCCTAGAAGACAAAATTTACACAGACAGTGTGGATTTGAAAAAAGCTGAAATTTCCCAGTAACAACGGTGCCCATCGGGGGCTCAGCTGTAGGATGCTAGCCGGCCATACATGTGGTAAGGGGTTCGATTCCCGACCGTGCACATCTTGACCTCCTCTAGCCAGTCGTAAGCCTGGGTGTTGGGTTAGCAACCCCACCCCTTAAAAATAAAACACCACAGCTCAAGCTTCAAGCCGCCTTATGTTCCACCACTCGGAACGCAAAAGGAATACAAAATAATGAAACAATCAGATGAATAGTCTGTCTGTTTTCGACATAGAACTTTGCACCGATGTGCAGCAGTTCAAGTCACCACACTCCATGTAGCACACAAAGCAAGAGAAGAAAGTAGGAGAAATGCATATTATAGACAGTAAACAGAGGAGCGAAACAAAGGAATAGTAATAACGAAGCACAACATAGTTTCATTTGAAATCATAAGTCACAAGGAGTGGATGCAACTGCACCAGCCATTGAGAGCGATTACTTTGAGCGATATCATCAATTGTTTCCAGCCACTGTCATTGGTTTTTACCGTCCGGAGGACCCCAACTAGTCAGGAAGTCTAAACCTTCCTACATAACTTGCTTAAACTAACTGTTGTGGATTTCATTGACTGATGAGGTCATGTTTTGGTTTGACCACCACTAGCTCTTTTCCAGCCTGACCCTATGTCAGCTAACATTGCCCGTCGAGGAAGGCGATGACTAGGCATACGTAACACATGTCCTAACCATCTCAGTCGATGTAATTTCACAGCCTCGTCGATTGATTTCCCTTCCCACTTACGTAGCACTCGACAGATGCCTAACCTCAATATTGCTCACCTTATTAAACCACTTCACATGGGATATAGAACGCAGACACCCATGATTGAAGACAGCTAATCTTTTCATGTCTTCCACTCTCAATGGCCAGGTCTCACAGCCAGCCATAAAGGAGGAAGGAGCGAATTGACTGCTGAGCAGTACACCCGCCCTTTGGTCGACAACCAGCCAGCCGGATATCACGTCTACTAAGCCAGAGACGGCGTAAACTGGCATATGCGAAACTAGTGAAGACAAAAGAAAAGAATAATCGATCAACTCATCTCATTTCCTTCGAAAAGACAAAGAAAAGAAAAATTACCTTTATTTCCGCCGGCACTACCAGTTGACACTGTGTCATTTCGTTTCTTTGTTAGTACTCGTGTAGTCGCATGATTCACCTAGAAATATACATACATACATATCAAATGTACAATAATTGGTAATTATTTTATGTATGGAAATATTACAATACTACAACTACTACTACTACTAGTAATCAATAAATGATTAATTCTCACTTATTTTTGTCTAAAATAAATAAAGAAGAAGTGAATTGGTGGATGGTGACTAGCAGTGGAATCCATCGGGATAATGCACATTTCGTCCTATTTGGGACTCGTCATCTGGATGTACTTGCATTCCGCAGTTCCCGCCGAGGCTCGGACCCAGTACCCATAGTTTCAAATGCCACTGCTAGTCAAAATCCACCAGCTGACTTCTAATTACATGCCCAGACATCATCATCGAAGCATCTGCACAAGGAGAAGCCGACATGCCAACCTGAGACCGAGCACTTCGGTCCAATCAATCAATCAATCAATCCGACGAGAAAATCTAAAATTGAATTAAACAAATATAAAGAAGTAGTGTAAGCGAATAGAAAAAGCCACACTCACACACATACACTAAACTATCGCATATCCATCTATATGTGAGTGTGTTTGATTGGTCGGTTGCTTGGTTTCCTTTGTTCAATATTAAATAAACCAATAACACGCAACAGTATGAATAATTAATGTCAGTAAAAAGTTTGAGCATTGTGGAATAGATCAAATAAATTATAAGTGTATATTCCGATAGTTTACACATAATGATAAGTTTTATATTTTTTTTCGGTAATATTTCGAGCAAAATTACTGCCCGTGATCACACACCAACTGCTGTTGGAATTGTTTTGTTTTAATTCACACATTTATGATTTGTAATCGTAGATATATAGTTCGTTTTTTTAGTTCATTCATTTTTGTGTATTCAGAATTATATTCCAGGTTGTTGACAGTTGTGCTGCTGAGTCACCCTTGTTATATGTATCCGGTGTGACCTTAATGAACAGTAGATTCTGTTATAAACAAATCTAATCTTAAATCAACTCTTGAAAATTAATCTGATGCTCGCTAGTGAGTGACTTGCTACAGGACGGAGTTTCCTGGAGTCAGTTCTAGTGAGAAGTCGTGACCAGTGAGGTCCATCCAGTCGGGAGTGAGGATGGATTTCCCACCGATGACATTGGTTGGTGCCAGTCGCGCTAAATGCATCACGAATTGGTAGAAGTTAGAATTCATGGGCTGTGGCCATTGAGGAGTTGGGTCCCAGCGGGGTGAATGGTATACGAGCTAGCTTGCCTTGTAACTGGAAGGTCCTGGATTCGAACCCTGCCGATGATTCCCAAACTAGGCTGATGAAACAGCTGTCCAGTACTCCAGTGCTGGTTTTCAATGGTTCTCTAACTGATATCAATCCGTGATCAAACTCGTATAACTAAGTCTCTCTTTCCATTTGTTCATATTAGTTTTTAGAAAACAAGCATTGTTCCAATCGATATTGTGGTTTTTGTCCCATGCATGTGCATCTATAGACGAATTTTCTTGTAAATTGTTGTAAGCTTGTGTTCCTTCCTGTTGGTTGACCTTTAGTTAGACGTTCAATGTTCATTCACTCTTATTTTGAGTGATCTGGATGTTTGACCCACATATTTAATCGAACATTCAGTACAAGATATTTTGTAAATTACATTACTACTTTTATCCATCAATTTTATTGGATCTTTCAGTTGATTTATTTTACTTTTAATTAGATTCTTCGGTTTAAACGTGGTACGAATCCCAATATATTCTTGAGGTTTCTTCGAATTGCCTCTGATGTACCCTCTTTTTTATATTATAAATTCTTTTGGGTAGTTGTTGTCGAGTAACATTTTGAATAGGACGTTTATTTCTTTTCGCTGGTCACCTAGTATTGTTATAAGTCTGAGTATTTCTATCTGCAAGACCTTGTAACTAACCCTCGTTTTACCATGAGTGGATGAACTGGGTGATAATCAAGGAATCTCCATATTGTGAATTTTATTGAGTCTACATGACTGTTTATATGTGTGAGAAGAATTTCTCAACTTTGTTTTTTTTTCATTATTACTAACGTGTCGTCTACATATCTCCACCGACATTTTATTGATGACCTGTATGGTTGAAGTGCATTCTCTTTTCTCAAAAATCCATGAATATGTCAGCTATTATTGGTGAGATGGGCGATAGCATGGCTACTCCTCCTTCATTTTGTTGGTATATTTTTCCTCCAAATGTAAAATCTGTTGTTGTCAGACAGAATTCAACCCCTTTGATTATCATCTTTTCTACGAATAACTGTGTCCTGTCTTTTAGGCCATCATCTTCGCTTAGTCTCGTTTTCAGTGCATTCATGACCATTTGAATGGGTATTTTATTTAGTATAGAGACTGTTTACATCAAAGCTGACTAGTATTTCCTCTTCGTCTATTTTAGTGTCTTTTTTATTCGTCTCACTAATTCAAATGAATCTTGTATTCTAGCTTTTGAATTGTCTCTTGTCAGTCTTGGTATTGTTGAGAGAAATCTTGACAGCATACACATATCGGTGTGTTTCTAAAATCTACAATCGGTCTTATCATTGTGTGTAAGCCATTGAAATATAATTATACTTTATTTAATATTAATAATGATTATATAATATGAAAGATAGCAATAATAAAAGTAATAGTAGCAGTGTAACGGCAGAAGACAAGGGCCAGGCAACAGATTGTTTATTGAGAAAATCAAGAGATATTTATAGATTTTTATTATTGTTAGCTGAGAATCAACGTCTTCTGATCGGTTGTTTTCTTGCTGAATGTTATTCTGTTATCTCTTTATGGCCGTTTCTCAGGAAATCAAGCCATATATCTGCGAATCATATTACCACACGTTAACTCCGCTGTGATTGGTTGATAACTTTCTCAAGGTCAAGCTTTGTTACTGTGTTTTTTCTCATGACCCCGATTCGGGACCTAAGCATTGACGTAAATTGTTGTCTACAATTTTCGTCTTGCAGACAGCTCTCACCACAGTATTAGTGGTAGTGCTGTGGTGAGGAACTCACCAACCAATCACAGCACACTTAACGTGCGCAAATACGATTCGTAGATATATGGCTTAACTTTCCAAGAAACGGTCGGTCAGAAGCAGTACAGAATAACCTTCAGCAAGAAAACAACCAATCAGAAGACGTTGCTTCTCTGCTAACAATAACGCTAATAATAATGTACATAAAAATGTATAAATACCTCTTGATTTTCTCAATAAAGGATCTGTTGACTGGCTCTTGTCTTCTGTCGTTACAATACTACTTACTATTCAACCAATAAAATAATAAACAGTAGTATAACGTGTCATTCACACGACTAAACGCATGCGTTTTAACAGAAAACCATAGAGAAAAATATTATCTAATACATATGGATGGAATGCGAAGAAGGGGCAAATGTGAAAAGCGAATTTTAGAAGAAGACAAGTTGAGATACAAATATAGAAAGAGGAGAACAATGCACACATACATAATGAGGCGCATAATAATAATAATCATAATGAAAAAAGAAACAACGATAAATAATGATTGCACAGGAGAAAATGCCAATGAAATTATGCAGATGACTTGTATGCCTCAGATATGGATGCTTTTTGTTTTTTACTCTCTCTCTAGATATACGATGAAAGTTTTAGGGAACACAATCACATAGAGTACATTACATGACACGGTTAGTTTTTAATATTTGAAGTTAGTTGGTTGGATGGTGACTAGCAGTGGAATCCATCGGAATAACGTGCATTTCGTCCTATTCGGGACTCGTCATCTGGATGTTCCTGCATTCCCCAGTGAGTGATGATGTTCCCACCACCGAGGCTCGAACCCAGTGCCCATAGTTTCAAACGCCAAAGCGATTTGCACTAGACCACTTGGGCCACGAGAGCCACTCACTCACTGGGGAATGCAGGTGCATCCAGTTGACGAGTCCCGGATAGGACGAAATGAGCCTTATCCCAATGGATTCCACTGCCAGTCACTATCCACCAATTGACTTCTAATTACATGCACACACATCATCATCACTGAAGCATCTGCACAAGGAGAAGCCGACATTTCAACCTGAGACCGAGTACTTTGGTCCAATATATCGATTGACAGGAAAATCTAAAATTGAATGAAATATTTTGTTGTTTTTTTCTAAGTTTCATGCAGCTTTCATTTTGATGAATAGTTTGAACAATTTGTCACTCACTGAGAAAGCAAATTATTGATGAGCATATAGAAAAATTATGAAAGATCCTGTTAACGAATCATTCAGTTTTATCCTTGATATTTTAGAATAACAAATATGATATCGAAAGAAGACAAAAAAAGATAAAAATAATATTCAACTCGAAAACTTCATGCAGTAAAAGACAGTGTGTACTGTCAGTTCAGTTAAGCCGATTGTGCAATGAAAGCAGTCACAACACATGAAACGCTGAATTGTTGTATCTTTCATGACAACTTCAAATCAAATATTCGTCGAAAAATTAGTCAGTGAATAAAGAGTACACTGTCATAAGTTGAATGTCATTCAGCTAAAAGTTTTTGCTAGCTGCATAAAAAACACACAAAATAATAAGTACTCATGCAATCAGGGTAAATGTATAGACATGTTGTACTACTGTGCTTTTATTATATGAATAAGGAATCTATCGGGATAATGTGCATTTCGTCTTATTCGGGACTCGTCAACTGGGTGTACATGCATTCCCCAGTGGAATTATACAGATGATTATACAGATTGCCTCCAACTATTTAATATCATCAAATCAATGTGCATCGTGATCGCGAGCTATCTAGAATGGTGGCCACACTAAGAACCTGACTGATAGAATTCAGTCTGCACCAAAGACAGAAGGACTAGACAGATCACACTAGTTACCAGTGTCCAATCGAAATACCCACTGCAGTCCTACAGCAGGTCAATCGCGAGGCCGAATAGCTCAGTTTCTGACTGACTGCAGCACTGGGTGACGCGGGTTCGAATCTCAGAAGAGATATGAGTTCCTTTGAACTGGTTGCAGATATGCCTTTCTGA